AGCGTAGGAGATCACCGGTGCCGAACATCGCAAATACATCTCCTTCCTCCACCATGTCACTAAACAACTTAAATAACATAGAAGTAACACACCCTCAGGCTCACTCTTATCCAGGAGAAGGATCACCAAATGCTGGAAATAGCCAGAATCCAGCACACACCCGTACATCTGCGATAACAAGCGTTTCTCCACTACCCATTCCGGAGATGCAAGGCAGGCATTACAGGAGCCCTGAAGGATTCCTTGTCCATAGCCTGAAACACTTAGTTCCCAATACATACGCTGGACATGAATTACCCGCTGTACCTGATCCGCGAAGAACATCTGATTCCGGGATCTTTGATGATCGGTTCCGGTCCGGAATCGGGAGCGAGTTGAGCTCTGTTGTCAACGATTCGGCGAGAGGACAAAACAAGGTTCCTAGCTTGGAACTTGGGGATTATCCATCATCGCCGTATCAAGTCGAGGACATAGAGCAGGGTGACCCACAAAAACTACTCGTATGTTTTCCCACACAGCAGACAACTCTGGACGTAGATTGGGCAGCAAGGTCCGAAGTCCGCGTTCCAACTTCTCGAGGCATTGATCATTTGAATACGGTCGTTTACACCAACGGAGAAGGTCATTTATTGAAATATTTCATGGGCTGGCCAACCAATCAAGAACAGAGTGACCATTATACGCTTCTGTCCCCTGTATGCATGGAGGGCAGCGATCTGTCTAATGCTGACAAACCAGCCTACCCAAATAGCCTGACAGAGCCTAGGAATGCTAGCAGCGAATCTGGGTCTCATATATGGGGTAAAAAGGCAACAACTTCGCGCGATTCTGCGGATCTCAGCGACGTGGGACGATCCGATCCATCCAGATGTGAAATTTCCTCACAGGATGCCGTGGTTGGTACCACTAGCTATAGTTCTTCTACACATCAGCAGCATGTCCGAATTCGGTGACACTGTCAATGATACTGAAGAAATAACCACTATAGATAAGCCCAGTCTGTCGTAATTGGGGTTATTTGGATGGCAACTCAAGGCCTGCTTCTAGCGAGGACAATTATCGACTGCTTTCTCCCTCATTTTCTGGACTCGGAGAATGCCCCTTCCCAGAGACGATTGATGAATTGGGATTGATAAGAATGCATAACGTTCGGCGTTGGAAGTCATATCAACTTGCGACCAAACAAGATGTTTGAAGGGCCAGTTATCGCGGTATTATCATACAATCAACTCGTATGGGTGTACGAGCCAACTTGAGCAAGGAAATATTGCTAATTTTCTTTTTGCTCCCGTCTTTCTTCCTCTCTTCTTTCTTTTCGTTTCCTTTTTTTCCTTTTGTAAATTAGTTATTGCCGTTCTGTCTGGCATTGAGATGGAAGAAGGGCTTTCTTTCGAAAATCCTTGACGACTCCGCAATTTATTTTTAGCTAAACATACAAGTAGTAGTTAAAAAAAGCACAGTTAAACCATGCAATCTATCCATGGTTGGGGAATAATTTGCTTGCGTTGCCGTCGTGGTTGCCAGTGGTGGCGTACGCCTTCCCCGCTAATAAGCAAGCTCGGCCTCCGTATTTTGCGACGCTTGACCAGCTTCAAACCTCATCCAACCTCCACCTTTTGCACGTCAATCCCTATATCCTATATACATCGTACGCTACAAACCTCCTAGACTGTCGACCGTTTGACACGCACATATTTATATACCGAATTCCTCTCAGGGATGCGTTTCCCCGTATCATTAGCCCTAATCCTCTCCCAACTGGCAATACATGCCTCCGCCGTCTCGAAACGCCAACCAGAACAAAACATCCTCAGGAAGGGCCCTATTCCCCTAGTTATATGGCATGGGCTAGGCGATGACTACGGGAGCAGCGGCATCCACAATATCTCCAACCTTGCCCAGCTGGTCCACCCAGGAACCTACGTCTACGTCATCTCCCTTGGCAGTTCACGCGCAACAGACCTCCGGGCCAGCTATTTCGGCAACCTCAACGAGCAGTTAGAAGAAGTTTGCAATAAACTAGGTACGGAGCAGATCCTCAGTACCGCTCCCTCCATCAATGCTTTGGGCTTCTCGCAGGGCGGCCAGTTCCTTCGTGCATATGTCGAGCGCTGCAACTTCCCACCTGTCCACAACCTCGTTACCTTCGGCAGTCAACATAATGGTATCTCAAGCTTCCAGGGCTGCAGCACCACCGGTGATTGGCTGTGTAGAGCTGGGGAGTCGCTGCTACGATGGGGTACGTGGTCTAGATTTGTCCAGTCCAGATTCGTACCTGCGCAGTACTATCGGGATCCTGCAGATATGGATCAGTATCGTGCCTACAGCAATTTCCTGGCAGATATTAATAACGAGCGCGCTTCGAAGAACGTGACGTATAAGGAGAACATGGCGAAGTTGAATAAGTTTGCTATGTACATGTTCGAGAATGATAAGATGATGGTGCCGAAAGAGTCGTCGCATTTCGCGGAAGTTAATACGACGGATGGGACAGTTACGCCACTAAGGGAAAGGAGGATATTCAAGGAGGACTGGCTTGGGTTGAGAGAGTTGGATACAAAGGGGAAGTTGGATCTTAAGATGACCCCAGGTGGTCATATGGAGCTTACCGATGAAACACTGCGCACGGTCTTCCAGGAGTATTTTGCGCCTATTGAGCTGGGTGGTGATGTGCACGCAATGCCCACAGATGCGGACACGCAGAAAGTGCTATCGGGGTAATCAACTCCGGGAATTCGATGGTACCACTTCCAGAGGATGGAATTTGGAGTTCTTGGGGTTTTCCGGCTTTGTCATGTGTGTATAGATTAAGCAATTTTCATACTTTCGCCCATTTCTGTCATTTTCGGTCTATCACTCTTTTTGGTTGAGACTGCATCGCTTCAGCTTATTGATGACATTCCGTCCGCTTCCTCAGCTAAGCCCGTCTTAAAGGCACCATGGAGAGCCAAGTTATAGATGCCCCTCGATTGGCCGTTAATAGTATTTTTATTTTGTCTGCTGTTATTTCCCACTCATTACTTCAGAATGATAAGCATCGCCAAACTATCACTATGCTGCGAAAACCATTTTCGTAACTAAGTAAATACTATATAAAGTTTTGCCAACAGGCTTAAATCGCAACGGTCAAATACGGGTTTGTGTGTCGATGTCGACAAACTCCAGCGATTCGTCTAAGACTCCACACATCAATGAGAATGTGGGGCTGGCCACGGCAGAGTTGCCTCATAGGCCAATCGACCGAAGGGTGGATATCCTGATTGACTTGCCAAGTTGGATTGGACGGTAGTGATATGGATTGATCAACTCCAAATTTTATTATTTGAGTTTTCGCCTCCAGTTGATCATTCGAGCCTTCACCTCTCCTAACTACGGATATATATCTATCTGACTGTGCCACGAACATTCGGTAATAGCAAGGGGGCAAGGGAAATAAAGAGAAAGAACCAGAAGAACTAGAAACATGGCAGAAGCCCAAGATAAATATCAACACCAATTCCAATCCCAATCACCTCCTTTCCCGACTCAGGAATGGGTACAGTTCTTCCCATCCCCATCTCCCAAATCTCCAGCTGGAACCGCAATCACAACAACATCATCAGCAAAAGAAGACGAAAAAGTGAAGTACATGATTTCGACAGACCCGTCCCTTCTCTCCCTCTCCGCTCTGGACAGCGCCTTCACCCAAGAATACATGTATTGGGTCAAACCGCTCCCAGCACCCGTTTTGAAGGATATGATAGACCGCTCGTTATGCTTTGGGGTGTACAGATGTAGTAACAGTAACATCGCCAATGACAATGGTAAAGTTGGTGTTGGCGTTGATATCGATACTGATGCCGATCCCGCTACCGCTCGCAATATGGATGCCACCACAAACCTCACCCAAATCGGCTTTGCACGCTTAATCACCGATTACGTCACTTTCGCTTATCTAACTGATGTGTACATCCTCCCTGAATACCAGGGGACAGGCCTGGGTTCTTGGCTGTTGCAGTGTATCAATGCGTGGGTAGATGGCAGGGGAGAGTATTTTAGACGATTCATGATGGTGACAGTCGGCGAGAGGGCGGAAAACTACTACCAGCGCGTCATGGGCGTGGAGACGCAGGGGAGAAAAGGAGATGTTTTTATTATGGGGAAGAAGGGGAAGGGTGCCGTGGTTTAGATTTGACAAGTTTGTTAGGTGGTTTCTCTCTCTCTCTCTCTCTCTCTTTGTTTCCCCGTTTTTGTTTTCATATAGAAATTTGACCGGTTGAGAAATATTTTGAGAAACTTCCGGGTTTGTTGCTTTGGAATTGCTAAAATGTCGAAGTACGCACTCGTTGTTGGCGTCTATACCCTCCGTAGAGAGAGGCAGCGCTCCTAACACTTCCGCTAAAACAGGGTGTGTTTGATGAAAGGTCGCATCTATGTATTATACGGATTGACCAGGCCTTCAAATCATACACCCCGTTCACGTATCTTCGTACTGCCCTATTGGTTCGCTCTTGTGGAGACTGGAGCAGCCGCACGAACACATCATCTCAGGTCTGTCATTGAGGACTATCACCGTCAGGGGAGGATATGATGTTAGGAATAGGGAATCTCTGTCTGCACCGTGAATCCTTATCTGATATGAAAATGATCCCGATATCACATATCAGAAGAGATCTCAAATAATTCAAAACCTGGCGAACGATGAGTCTCAATACTCCCGTGAAACACATATCAAATAAACTTAGGTTTTGAATATTTGGTGTTGTTCGGTATCTTCTGCATGCAGCACGTAAACACGAAGGATGAGATTACCCAAATAAAATTGACCTCAATTGTCTTCCCGTGATATCAAATTGCCATTTGGCCTCTGTGTTTGTCCGCCAACTGCCCTTGCAACTAACGTTCGTAGTAACATCTCATTTGCTCTCCAAACCAATCGGGCTTCCCGGCCATCAGGATCGTCATTCTCCTCAGTAACATCCGCATCATCAAAAGGGATCACCCGCCCGGGGTTGGCAATTAGTTTCACCCTCCCTTCACTACCAAGTACAAAAGCTCCGCAAGATACTTTGCTCAGTCTAATCTGTCTCTTTTGTGTATTAGTAGGCTCCTTGCCAAAGTCGCTGATATCTAATTTCATGGCGAGATTGGCATCGAAATAGACAGCCAAGGCTGCTAAAAACGGAGCTGAAGGGCCATTATCTTCAGCGGCAGATGGGGTAGTGTCCGGGTGTGATCGCTTCTTGCCACGGTTTCGTGCTTGATTTGCCAGATTTCTTTTCTCGTTTGCATGTAATTCTATACCGCGAGAGAGAAAGGCGCTGAGAGACTCGCGTGGTATAAGTACATCTAAACTTCTCAACGAGGGAGATATTGGCGTAGGGAAGGATAGCGTAAGTTGTGTCTCTTTGATTAATTTCTCGACAAGACCCCGTGAAGAAACTGATGTCTGTCCATTCACAGATCGATTCAAAATCGAGAGATAGTTTTCAAATGTCGCGCATAGAAAACTAGACGTCAACCGAAGAACTGTACAGCGTGTGTCGAAACTGGTTGACAAGAAAGAAATAAAAGTTTGACGCAGAGAGTTTGGAAGACGGGTCAGAAGCAAAGGAAGAAAGGTTACATTTTTCTGTGTATCATGGTAGCCATCTGGACCTGACGTCATTGCTGCTTTATAGGTGATATTTTCATATTCAAGGGTAACCAGAATTCCCGCTGAGACTTCTGGAGATATGACAAATGTTGCGTGGTCGGGATCTTCCAGCAGAGACTCCTCTTCATTCCAATGGCTCCAAGTCGGAAGCACATCCCATCTGCACGATTTCAAATGCCCTGCTTTTGAGATCGCGTCGTCCACAGCACCCAGGCCTTCAAAGCCAACCTGCACGCCACGAAGCACATCACCCCGAAGGAGGTCGCGCAAACGCGTTGCGTATAATTCCAATCCCTGTGGATTATCTAGAAGTGTTTCACACTCCTTTCCATGATATAGAGGGGACAAGCGATGGAGTGTCCAAGAGGTGGAAAACAACTCGTCCCCTGATGTTGCCATTGCCTCGAACTGCTCAATTGAGATCACGTAGAATACGGCAAAATATGCTGATTAAATAAACCATGAAAATCGGATATTGTAGGACATTCATCAGTTGTGTCCATAGCGGTCCTTTCTCTCCATTTGATATCTTCATTTCTTGACAACTGATAGCAGAGCTCAATTGAAACTTTTGGCTGTGGAAATTAGTTATAACTCAACAGAAGCAAACAGTGCAAACAAACACGCAGCAAAACCCAGCAAGATGATCAAACCGAACATACATACGAGTATTTCAACGCGTTTTCGTTGTGAATTGTCACTACAAGTTAGAGATTGACCCTTTAGGTTGCTGCAAGCCAAGGGGTCCTTGGTGCCCGTGGTCCTTCAAAATCCTCCGTTTGGCTTCAAGGTTAGGGACCATTTTCCATCGACTTTCCTTCTGGTTGGTGCCGACTAGCGTTATTATATTGATGCAAGATCTGCGATGACCTCGTTATGAGCGTCTCTGTATCGGGCTGCTTTAGAAACAACAGCTTAGCACTGTTTTTCTATGTCTGTTGCTTTGTTTCTTTTTTGCCGCTGCCTTCTGCTGAATTCAACTTAAGGCTTTTATTCAACTCTGTGGCCATTTTGTTCTGATAAACTCCATTGCCGGCTCACTACATTTCGTCCAAATGCTCTCGGATCTCTATATATACCCCGTCAAGTGGAAAATCCACTTCCGCTCTTTTATTAAATCATCTGGCTTGGTGGGCGGGACACCTATAGCTCTTAGGCTCACGCTGGTATAGATGATACTCCCACGGAAACAACTTACATGTCCCTCCATACTTCACATCTAATTCAACTGCCAGTATCTGTGACGGGGGGGTTTCTCTATCGGTGGCCATGGATGATTGATTGATAGTTGAAGCCCGTGGCAAATCATCGTTGGGACTCAACACTCCATCGGTGTCCCCCCACTGGTGGGTTGGATCATAGAGTAGAAGCCTCAGCGCTGCCGGACTGTCAAAACCGCGGGAGCTGTTTTAGTTTTTCACCTCTGGGTGCCGTTTTATGTCAAGCTAAAGACGTTGGCTTTTATTTTCTTCTCCGTATATGGTATACGACATACTGTTTGCATGTATGCGTTACGCCTCCTCCACCTTCCACATAACCAACTCGAGGGTTCACACCTTCCATTGTTCCAATTCCAACCTCGTATCCCCTACAATCCGTGCTCAGATATTCCTCCAGGTTTTTTCCTCCCTCCTCGACTCTTGTCCTGCAATCCGGCCCACTCCGGTCTACTGCGCCTAATCAGAACCCAGCTCAAAACAAAGTACGGTCAAAATATGGACACCTTCGAAGGCATTGTAGTCGTCCTCGTTATCATCCTAATATTTACTCCTACTCCGGTGGCACAGATCTGGCATTGGCTCGGCGTCCAATTCGGCTGGGAATGGCTCCTGCCGCACCCACCACCTTTGGAATACGTCGCGCCGCTCCTGGAGGAATTGCGTGGTCTCAGGAATGATATCAATTGCCAGCTTTTACCGATTTTGGGTCTAGTTCGAGATCGGATGGAATCGAGTGGGCGGCTCGCGGATTTCCAGAGGAGTGGGGGTGTTAGTGGTAGTGGTGGTGATGGGGAGGAGATGGTATAAAGTTGAAAGGTGATGGGCTGATGCCAGGGCATTCTGATTGGTATGTACGTACAAGCACACTATTGTTTTTTTGATGTGTTTTGTTGATTTGAAGATGGCTGATGGTACCATGCAGAGTGCAGCGTCCAGTATGCAGTACGCGATTGTCTCGTTAGTGGAGATAAACCAGTCGCAGATTCACTGGTTTTCTGCCTTGAAAAATAACCCCGAAAGAGATGATTTATATATTGAGTTTGTATTGTGGGGTGAGTTGGTTTGCTAAATATGCCAGCTCTCTATTCACGAATCTTCCACGAGGCCATAGCTTTTTTGACTTGATCTATTTTACATGTACTCTAAAGTTCTTGAACTGCTGATCTGATTTTGAAGCAAATAGCTTAGGGCTCTAGGTTATATTACACACCGCGGATGATGGTTCAGCCCTTAATTATCCGAGAGCCATTCAACTATTTACTTCGGACGGCCTCTACATGGTAGAATTTAGAATCATAATAGTAGAGCTATATATTTTGTACTACCGAGGTAGAAATGGAAGCAGTTTTACATTGTGTCTGAGATTGCTATGGTTCACTTTTTTTTTTTTTTTTTTTGAGGGATAGAGTAAGCTAAGCCTATCAGGAGATTTTTAACCCAGAAAAAACCCTATGGGTGCCCGTATGTCTTTTTGATTATAAGAAAAGCCCTGGGGGACGGAAATTCCAAAAAAAAAAAACAAAAAGCTCATGAAAACAAACTTAACCTTGCTAAAAGACGCGCATTCGGTATAATACATATAGAACAGTAACAAAAACGAGGAAAAAGAACTCCTGGCAAATCCAAAAACCCCAAATTTCATCAAGTCATGCTATATATATACATTCTTGCTTTGATTTATCAACATTCCCCGCCCTTTTTTCTTAAAGTTACTCCGTTATGCTACGCATATCTCAAACGTGACATCACGGCCGATCCACCTCCACCGGTTCCGTCAACTGGAGCGCCTCATCAACACTGCGAACGAAATGTGTCGCACCCCCAACGGCATCAACAATTCCACTCTTTTCCATCATCCGGAATATTTCCGTCCCGGGTTGTGGATACCTGCAGAAAAACACTCGCACCCCTTGATCAACATAGCCCTGGACAATTTCACTAAGCACCTGGATCCCCGAGCCATCAATACTCGTGACACCGTGTATATCAAAGATCATATTCCGGTTATGTTCTGGGGGGCGTACGCGTGGTAGAGCAGGATGCGCAGCAGTCGTGCCGTAGAACTCCAGGCGGCGGAGCCTATTTTTCAAATCGCCTGTGTTTGCGAACGTTAGAGGCTCAGGTATCTTGACGATTAGACAGCCGTCGATAAATTCGACTTTCTCAGGCTGCACTTCTGCGTTCTCAAAACGGTCTTTGGTGCCATATACTTTTCCGAGGATTTGGATACGCGGTTTGGTTGCGTGGCGGATTATCTGCAGGATGGAGAGGCCTATGCCCAGCGCGATGCCGAGATAGAGCGAGTAAAAAATTGTTGAAAAGAAGATTATGAGCATTAGGCTTAGTTCGGACCAACTACGGAGACGAAAGAAGAAACGTAGGTCGTGAGGTGCTTCTTCGATGAGAGATATGGCAACAACAGAAATCATAGAGGAAAGGATAGCCATCTGGGATAGGGAATATGCGTTAGAATTCCGAATATTCTATTCGAAAAGTTTTTCCCATTCTGGGTAGGCACAATGTGAACACTTACAGGCATAAAATAGAAATAAGGCAGCAGAAAGAGAATGCAAATCAGAGTTATTAGGCCCAGAAACACGCCGCTCATAGGGGAGTTTGCACCAGTGGCAGCATTGAGCTTGCTTCGGCCGTATCCTCCGAATGCAGGGAGTGACATGAAGCATCCACCAATTACATTGGCTACACCAAGAGCAACGAGCTCGCGATTAGCGCTAAAAGATATACCTTTTATTCCGCCATTGTTTCCGTCACCAAGGCCCTTTGCGGCGATAGACGACTCGAAGAATCCGAGTAGTGCGATGATGAAGGACGTGCTCATCGCGCTTGGAAGATGTCGCATGTGTGACATTTTATATGGCCAGCGGAAGGCAAAAGTCGGATTCCCTTCGTTCTTGAGGGAACCAAGGACATCCAACCCCTTCTTATCCCATTGGAGTTTCCAGGTGAGGATAACGGAGAGGAAGACAACAAGAAACCGATCAGGGAAAAAGACAATAGAGGGGAAGCGTGGTTCCAGACGTCTTTTCAGAGTCCTACGCCGGGGGCATCAGCACATATTTTTAGCGTCTTAATCCCATGTATTTAATAATAATAATAATAATGAAAAAAAAAAAAAAAAATATGTACCTGAAAACCATGATGGCTGCAAAGCTACCAAATGCAACTGCACATGTCAAACCATGGGCAGAAGATATGTTTCGAAATAGAAATCCCAATTTGTCAATGCTGCTACCATGCGCGGAGCCACTTTTCTTTGCCAGCGAGGTAAGGCCCAGTTGCGGGATCAACTGATCGACGATGATCATGAAGCCAATGGCACTAATAAATCCTCTCAGGAAGGGCCGGCTGAGGATATTGTCGAGGAAACCCAGGCGAGTGATCCCGCCTATTAATACCATCGCTCCCGACAGCCCTGTGATAACACCGACTATTTGAGAGATCATACCGGGGTCATCGTCCATAGCCTCACCCGATTTAATTGCACCGCGGATCACAGTTCCGACTAGGAGGGACCCTGCTGCTTCTGG